CATTAAACTGTCAGAAGTCAGTTTACCGAGTAGGACACAAAGCAGTTATTAATAAGAAGAGGTGAAATAAATGCCTGCAAGATTTCACAGCTCTAGCATCACATCTTCATAATCAGCCTATGAAAAATTTCAGCCCACCCTCTGACCTGAAAAGAAACAATGCAGTTATGAATAAGAAGAGTTGAAATAAATGCCTGCAAGATTTCACTGTTCTAACATCAATCCTTAATAGTCAGCCTATGAACATTTCAGCCACTCTCGTACCTGAAATTAAAACAATGCAGTTATTAAAAAAGAAGAGTTAAAATAAATGCATGCAAGATTTCACAGTTCTAACTTCATTCCTTCATGGTCAGCCTATGAACTTTTCAGCCACTCTCGTATCTGGAAAGAAACAATGCAGTTATGAATAAGAAGAATTGAAATAAATGCACTGCTAGAGCATCAATCCTTCATAGCCAACCCATGCTCTTTTCATCCCACCTGGTAAGAAACAATGCAATTATTAATATGAGGAGTTAAAATTAACGCGTACAAGATTAGACAGCTCTAGCATCATTCCTTCATAGTCAGCCGATGAACTTTTCAGCCCTTCATCGTACCTGGAAAAGAACATTGTAGTTATTAAGAAGAAGAGGTGAAATTAATGCATGCAAGATTTCACAATCTAGCATCACCCCTTCATAGACAGTCTATCAATTTCTCAGTCCACCCGTGTTATTTTCACAATGACATCTGACTTTACTTTAAGATTGTGCCACAATAGTAAATATTTTAGTATCACTTGAACTGATTGAGAAGACGGAATCAGTTGACCCAGCATGTAAACATGAAACATCACATGACCTACGAAATGAGGGTCAGAAGAAGGACTTGAAGGGATAATAACTTGAAAGCATAACTTACGGGGTTTTGTTCTTTGTTGTTCAAATGTTCTGGCATGTGTACTTTTCATCGGCGAGGAAACTGCCCAGTATTCACTGCCATATAGGAGGATTGTTATTACATAGCAGTTCAGCACTCTTTTCTTTGTTTCTATTGCTTCAAGTCTCCTCTTCATCTGTGAGGAAATTGTCCAGCATTCACTGCCATATAGGAGGATTGGTATTACATAGCAATTCAGCACACTTTTCTTTCTTTCTCTTGCTTCAAGTCTCCTCATCATCTTCGAGGAAATTGTCCAGCATTCACTGCCATATAGGAGAATTGATATCACATAGCAGTTCAGCAGTCTTTTCTTTGTTTCTATTGCTTCAAGTCTCCTCTTGATCTGTGAATAAATTGTCCAGCATTCACTGCCATATAGGAGGATTGTTATTACATAGCAATTCAGCACTCTTTTCTTTGTTTCTATTGCTACAAGTCTCCTCTTCATCTGTGAGGAAATTGTCCAGCATTCACTACCATATAGGAGGATTGGTATTACATAGCAGTTCAGCACACTTTTCTTTTGTTTCTCTTGCTTCAAGTCTCCTCTTCATCTACAAGAAAATTGCCCAGCATTCACTGCCATATAGGAGGATTGTTATTACATAGCAGTTCAGCGCTTTTTTCTTTGTTTCTCTTGCTTTGAGTCTCCTCTTGATCTGTGAAGAAATTGTCCAGCATTCACTGCCATATAGAAGGATTGATAATACATAGCAGTTCAGCACTCTTTTCTTTTTTTCTCTTACTTCAAGTCTCCTCTTCATATGTGAGGAAATTGTCCAGCATTCAATGCCATATAGAAGGATTGATATTACATAGCAATTCAGCACTCTTTTCTTTGTTTCTCTTGCTTCAAGTCTCCTCTTGATCTGTGAAGAAATTGTCCAGCATTCACTGCCATATAGGAGGATTGATATTACATAACAGTTCAGCACTCTTTTCTTTGTTTCTCTTGCTTCAAGTCTCCTCTTCATCTACAAGGAAATTGCCCAGCATTCATTGCCATATAGTAGGATTGGGATTACATAGCAGTTCAGCACACTTTTCGTTGTTTCTCTTTCTTCAAGTCTCCTCTTCATCTGTGAGGACATTGTCCAGCATTCACTGCCATATAGGAGGATTGATATTACATAGCAGTTCAGCACTCTTTTCTTTGTTTCTCTTTAAACGCATAGTATGATATTGTTGAAACTTGACTAATTCATGGAATAATAATGCAACACAAATTGTACTTAGAACAAAAGGTATTGAAGCAAGAAAGTGTACACAATATTTACATATAGTCTTTTGTATATGTCTGGTAAGACCGTTCCTGGAGAATGTGTTGACTGAGTCGCAGTCGGGCGGGAGTCTCTGATTGAATCTCTTGATTCCTCCTCTCTTCCCGGTACCAACCATATTTATATGGTCGGTAATCCACTATGCAAATTAGGTGGATCCTACCACAACCCCCTCCCAAGACTTGGAATCCTTTGGATTTCAAACTGGCTTCCTATATGGGTTGATGATTATGGCTATTTCTTTGTAGATCCATTTACATACTTCATATGCATATGTCCATCTGCTTAATTTTAATATTTTTTCCGTTTTGGATTCACGTCCAATGGGTCCGTGAACTTCCGTTTCTTACCGGATCTTCTCGGTTCAGGAGTATTTTACGGAGGTTCTACTTGAAACATATCATACATTACCTCAATGGGATCTTCCTCCTCATCCGGTATACTCTCTTCATGCTCTATAACGTAACATTTTTATGTTGATTCTTGTGCCTTTTATGAGTATTCTTCAGCCCTTTAATTATGTAAATCAGGTCACCGATTCTCTTGTCCACTATGCCTCGCTCCCAGAACTCAACGTTGTTTTTATAGCACTTGAAAACACCTTCTCTCCGGGAGTGTATCTTTTTCTCTGTATACATGGTATTTTTTACTCTATTTTTTTCCTGGCAAAAGCTTGTCAAACACTGACTTAACTTTCCTAGCGAACATTAGTTCAGCTGGTGCCATGTTTGCGTGTGTTCTCTGGTTTGGCGTGATTCTGTATACTTGTAAGAATTGCTGAAGCGCCTTTTCCGTTGGAACTCATGAGGCTTTCTTCAGAGCTCGCTTTAAAGTATCGACAAATCTTTCTGCGAGTCCATTGGACCTCGGATGATACGGAGGCGTCGTTATGTGGTTAATTTGATATAACTCACAAAATTCCTTAAATTCTTCAGAAGTGAATTGTGTACCATTGTCACTCACAATACACCGAACCGTGCAAATAGTTCATGCAAAAAAGTTGTTGTGGTATTGGACGTAGGCTTTTTACAGCGTAGTACTTCCGGCCATTTTGTAAAACTATCTACCACTATTAAGTAGTAATAATCTTCTACTGGACCAGCGAAATCAATGTGTAATCTTGTCCACGGATGATCCGTCTTGGGCCATGGTTTGTGTACTATAGGTGGTGCCTTAGCTGCTAACGCACACCCTTTACATCGATGAACCATGTTTGCGATATCCACATCCATTCCTTTCCAATATACAAAGCTTCGCATTAAGCTTTTTGTTCTATTAATACCCGGGTGACCTATATGAAAGTCCCGTAGTATTCTTTTCTGCAACTTTTTTTTTTGTATAGTTCTTTATACCTCGTCGCCATTGTTGAAACTTGACTAATGCATGGAATAATACACAAAATGTACTTAGAACAAAATGTATTGAAACAAGAAAGTGTACACAATATTTACATATAGTCTTTTGTATATGCCTGGTAAGACCGTTCCTGTAGAATGTGTTGACTGAGTCGCAGTCGGGCAGAGTCTCTGGTTGAATCTCTTGGTTCCTCCCTCTCTTTCCGGTACTAACTATATTTATATGGTCGGTACTCCACTATGCAAATTAGGTGGATCCTACCACAACAGTTATGGAGAACCTTGATCGCCCACATCTTGAACGCAGCGATTAACCTACCTAACGATAATGTGTAAATGGATGACCCAACAGGGACTGGGATGGAGAGTAAGGAGACGATGATTACTTAGTGTTAAAAAGAATAGGATGTTGTGGAGAGCCTTGAGCGCCCACATTCTGAACAGTCAGAGGAAAGCAGCGAGTAACCTGCATAATGAGCTTGTGTATGAATGAAAGAACTAGGAACGTGAGGGAAAGTAATTCGACAATCAATGCTTAGCGCTAAAAACGATAGGAAGTTGTGGAGAGCTATGATCGCCAATATACAGAATGGTCACAAAGAGCAGCGAATAACCTACCTAACGAGTTTGTGTAAATGTATGGCAGAACAAGAAGAAGAAGGTGCCAATCATTGCTTAGCGCTAAAAAAGATAGGAAGTTGTGAAGAGCCATGATCGCTCACATCCTGAACAGCCAGAGTGGATCAGCAAGTACTCTATCGAACAGGCCATGGGATATAGAACAGTGTGGGAGGGATATTAAGTAGGTAAAAATTTCTTAGAGCTATAAAGAACAGAAAGTTGTGGAGAGCCATAAACGCTTACGCCCTGAAAGCATACCAGAAGAATTTACAAGTATAACAATTAAGCGTGATGGGAAATTATTCTTTTTTTTCTTTGCTTTCTTATTCGGATCTTCATGCATATGTTGGCCGTTCTGCGCACAACGTTTCGACCATTATACCTTCCGGTTTTCTTCACTTTGTCTTCATTCTTGGTAAACCTTCCAGAAATTTGGATACACCAAATACAGCTAGCGAGTTAGATGCATAGATACTTACCCTAGTTACTGATGTCCTCATCTTTATTGCTGACGTTTCGGCCTTCTTCAGGTGATATTTGCAATTTCGAAACGAACTCTTTGTTTGGTACACGGGGCTAGATTGAACGAATTCAAAGTACAATTCCTCTTTCGATATCTCAATTTCAATTAATTCCCTTTAATAACTCGACTGTTGGGGCCAGGGATTGAACTGACAAAGCTTTGGGTCAAGTGACTTTTTGGATAACTCAGTCAATGGATTTCCCTACTACGCCATCTATATGGCCTTGGGGACACGAAGGAGTGAATGTCTGGATCTTATAAACTTAATGTCTCAGTAACAATTTTTACCAGCGCTCATATTACAATATATATATTTAGATAGATAGGTATGAAGAGAAGCATTGATAGATAGATAGATAGATATTTGAAGAGAAGCAGAGGCAGATTAATAGATCGAGAGAATGTAACTGATAGATAGATAGATAGATAGATAGATAGATAGATAGATAGATAGATAGATATGAAGTACGAAAGACAGATGATAGATAGATAGATAGATAGATAGATAGATATGAACAGAACTGAGATAGATAGATAGATAGATAGATAGATAGATAGATGCGTAGTCACTGAGATAGATAGATAGATATGAACAGAATTGAGATAGATAGATAGATAGATAGATAGATAGATAGATAGACAGAACTGAGATAGATAGATAGATGCGTAGTCACTGAGATAGATAGATAGATAGATAGATAGATAGATAGGGTATGGTTGGGTTGGTTTGTGTCAACTTGTTTTATGAAATTTCCAAATCAGGCTGTTCTTTTTTTTTTAAAACATATTTGAGTCAATAAACATTCACTTTTCAGCTGACCTCATTTTTGGAACGAAATCTAAATCCTTTGCACTCAACGTATTTCTCGGCCCTCCTGAGATAGATGGATATGATGATAGATGGATGATAGATGAATAGATATAAAAAAATGAGAAAAGAAGACGACAAACTAATAATGGGAAAGTAAATAAAAAGAGAAAAGCTGAAGAATGAAGGAAAAGAAAAGAAAAAAATGAAAGCAAGAGAAATAAATGAAAAAAAAATATGTAAAAGAAAACAGTTTAACACTGCTCCGACTATTATTTTATAAAAAATGTTTCATTTCCAAACAATTTTTTTTTTTAATTTATTAAGCCAGAAATTGAGGCACCTTGAGGCACCTTGCCTAACACCTCTACCAAACGCATAAGTTGACAATTGGATTCGTTTCAAGCTGAGAAGGGCATAAAAGAATCAAGACCGACTATGAAAATGGGGTACCTTGAAGTACCAGAACTGAGTTGATGGATAACATCTCTATCATCAGACATATGAGTTGATAATTGGACCATTTCAAGCTCAGAAGGGCATAACAAGAATCAATACTGACTAAGAAAAGGAGGTACAGAACTTAGATAGTACTCTAGTGGTAGGCTAACAACTTTCCTCATGTATGAGTTGATAATTGACCATTTCAAGCCCAGAAGGGCATAACAAGAATCAAGACTGACTAAGAAAATGAGGTACCTTAGAAGTACCCTAGTGGTGGCTAACAGCTTACCTGATGTTTGAGTTGACAATTGAACTCGTTTCAAGCTCAGAAGCAGCAGCTCGTTCAGGCCTTAGTGACAAATGAAAACCAAAAGTGCAAGAAATCACTGCTGCTTTGAGATTGTTACTCAAGACATGCTGCAACGTGTTTAGCAGGAGCTGAATTCCGGAAGATATTCGCCGTGTCACAGAGGTTGAAATCGTCTATGAATTGAAGACGGAAAAGAAACAAGGATATAAACTGGGCCAAGGAAATGTGGACTCCGACATGATATGAACTCGCATCCCTCTTTGCAAGAATAATCACCGTCACATCTGGCGTGTTTTAACATCTCGGCTACGGGGACTTTTATAATGAAGCGAGGTTATTTTTTTTTTTAAGCACATTAATTCGTGCAAATTTTCCCGAATGTTGCTTCGTACCTGAGACAAAAACAAAGCAATTTCTAGAGAATTTATGTTTTTTATTATTTTTAAAGCGAGGTATCTTTATTACTTCAAACGTTAATTTTTGTGCACCCCAGTAGAACGCATCTGGTAGAGGTGTTAACTTTTGTGGCCTCCCGTGTTACAGTTTTTTGAAACGTCTCGCTCTCTCTCTCTCTCTCTATATATATATATATATATATATATATATAGTGATTTTCTAAGCGTAGCTTAGATGTGACACAAGGCCAAAATAGGGGGCACGCAGTGAGGAACGAACTCACTACTCAGTCGTAATTGTTCTAACGAGACAAGCTTGCTGACCATTACACCGCCTCGAGATCCCCTCCTCTCTCTCTCTCTCTCTATATATATATATATATATATATATATATATATATATATATATTATTTTTATTTAAAAATATGATTCGATCGCTACATAAGAGTTCTCATGTTTCAAAACAAGAGCCAAAAACTTCAATATAATTATTTGAATTAAAGTAAAAAGTTAAAATTTTATTTTTGGAATAACTAATTGCTGGAATTTACGCGTTTTATAAACATATTCATTATTGAAATTAAAATTACTATGGTAACGGCTAGAGCAATTGTTTAAAGAAAAGGGGCGTAAGGCTTAATAATTTGTATCAATATCTCAGTTACATTCACAGAACGTCAAGTCAGGGTAAGGTCGGGGCGTCTAAGTTTAAAGCGGAGTTATTCCAAAAAAAAAATTCGCTTGAAGACGGGACAGAGCTTGGTACTTTAATTCAGTTTAATTCAAATAATTATATTGAAGTTTTCAGCTCTTGTTTTGAAACATGAGAACTCTTATGTAGCGTTGGAATCATATTTTTAAATGAATAATTATATTTATGCTCTATTTTTGTGTCGAGCACTATTTTTTAAAAATAATAACAAAAATGCTAAAGAACTTTGGATTATTTACCTAATGAGTTCTTTCCCATTTTCTATATATTTTTACACACACACACACACACACACACACATATATATATATATATATATATATATAAATATATATATATATATATAATTGGGGGGTTGTTTTATTTTCTAATTACCGACGACATGCGCCGTTTTACAGACGGCGGGTCTACTGAAATTTATGAAATCATTCATGAAATTCAATAACCTTTCTCTTACTCATTGAAATCTTGATAAATAAATCTTATCTTGCTCAACAATAAGCTTTTTTAGTTTCATTTGACTAGAATATTTAGTTACTCAGATATTTACGCCTCAATAGATATCAGTTTTGTACTCCGCCGCTCTTTCTCTCTCTCTCTCTCTCTCTCTCTCTCTCTCTCTCTATATATATATATATATATATATATATATATATATATATATATATATATATATATAAATACTTTCATAAAATAAAACATTATAATTTTCAATTTGAAACTTTTTTATATATATATATATATATATATATATATATGTAAGCAAATATATGGATATAGACGTGACGACGACGTGATCATATTTAAACGGAACGCTGATCTTATAAAACATTTCAGTTGTCTGTTTGGATTGGTCTTGCTCTTATGTCCATCGTCTTTTTCATGTTGAATTCAATATAGTCTAATGTTAATTATGTTTTATAAATATGTCCTGAAGATGGTCTATTAGACCGAAACGTCCGACGTTGACATTATATTAACATTAAAACAGCATAATTGTATATTAGGATTTTTGTTTGTTTTTCCGTATATTTTTCTTCATATATATATATATATATATATATATATATATGTGTGTGCCTGTGTGAACGCGTATGTGTGTTAGTTGTTTTGAATATTCCTCCTTTTATATTTCTATCGCAATGTTCAAATTCTTTATTTATTTCTGTTATTTATCTTTTTCTTCTTTCAATTTTTTGTAATCATTCCACCTGAAAGAACGCGACAAAGCCACTCAGACGCCAAGGGGTTACTAAGTTTAAAAGAATATAAAAATAAAAGAAAAAAAAGTATTAAGAAACAAGGACAATAAAAGAACTGATATTACGAAGACAGATAATAACGACTACCGTTGTTTTTAAATTTTGAAGTTCCCAGTTAACTGGAAAGCAAGAAGCTGAGAGCGAGTTCCACAAGAGAGAAGTGCGAGTGAAGAAATTGCTAGCATAGAATTTTCGGTTGCCTCTAGCCATTCAAACTTTATGATAGATACACAAAGTTTCAGCAGTTGTACGGTCTAGTCTTCTTCAGGATCTGTCTGTATTTCTGAGATGAGCTATTGTAGTTATTTATACTATTTATATTGTTCGAACTGTTGTTTGAATCTTCGTAGCCATATTCACGAGGTTTTGACCGTTGTACGCCCGGCCTTCTTCAGGATCTGTCTATATTTCTGAGATGAGGTATTTTAATTATTTACACTATTTACATTGTTCGAACTTTTGTCCTTATCTTCGTTGCCATATCCAGGACATTTCGGCTGTTGTATGCTCCAGTCTTATTCAGTTAATTGGAAATTCGAACTGAACCCTTCATTTCTTCCTCCTGGTTGGACTGTTCTAGTTCCACGTGTCATGCCTCTTCCGGATGTATCAGTGTCTGTTATCAAACTTTAGCTCAACTTTCCTAAGATTTTGTTTAGCTCAGCTTTAGTCAAATTTTGAATTAACAATTTTTGGTTCAATTCACAGGTTTCAATCAACGCTTTTATCCACTGGACCTGCGTTTAGATTCATAGAGTCTAGGTATCAAAGGGGAGAAGTTATCAGAACCACTACCTTGAAGGTATTTATAGAAAAGGCTGAGGGAAGCTACATTACGGCGGTGGGGAAGTCACTGAAGCCGAGATGCCAGGCTACGACCAATGACATTGCAGATTCTTTAATTATAAGAAAAAACATTTATTTCCAACGAATGATTTATTTTTATGAAAATATTGCGACTAGCTTTTGCTAGTCTTGGTCACTCCTTAATTAGTATTTATTGTATTTAAAAATTAAAGGCCAAAAATACAGTTGCGGCACAAGGCCAAAAATCTTATACCTAGCTAATCTGATTCCCGAGCCATTCACATATTACAATTTCCACATTCACCATTTACAAAGTAAGTACATTCGCTTTTTAAGCGAGGTCTATGTCTTATTAGTTGGAACAACAAGTTTTTCTTTTAATTATGCAACTACCAATAGAGATAAGCATTTTCCGTGATTAGAATTCTTAAGCGTTTCTAGTTTCTTTACATGTGTTTTTACTCAAATTAAAAGAGTGACCAAGACTGGCAACTTCTAGTCAAAATAATTCCATAAAATAAATCAAATTTTTTTTTCTTTTAATTATGCAACTACCAACAGAGACAAGCACCCTAACTTTGATACGAATAAGACATGGACCTAACTTAAAAAGCGTACGTCCTTACTTTGAAAATGTCATCAATTCGGCGTTTCTAATTTCTTTGCATTGTTTTACTCAATTTTTTTTTGTTTCGCAAAAAGGATGTCTGTATATATTCTGTGTTTAGCAAAAAATTCCGAATGGATCGTTTTTATTATTTTCATAAGATTTGCGAAATTTATTTATTGAAAAAATTAAAAGATTGAACAAAGTAAATATACACAATTTTTTTTTCTCTTCTCTGCCAACCGCAATGATGGAGAAAGCATTACCTGGAACCATCGCCAGTGTAACACGCTGCAAGAGCCACTCTGTTTCGTGAGGCTCATCTCTTAATCGAGACACAATCGTGCCAATCCTCGGTAGGAACGCCATCGAACGAGGGCCAATAACTCCTGAAGTCCCCACTGCCACAGGAGTAAAAAAAAATCTATCAGCAAGAGAAGAATATTTAACTATTTTTTTTTTATTTGTCTGCGTCCCGGGCGACGGACCCCGACTCAACCGCGGACCTGGTCAAATTACCGGTCGAAAATGTATCCGCACAGGTCGCATCCCAAATCAACGACTTGGTAATGCCACCCGGCCGCTTTCCATCACCACGGTCGAGGCCTACAGGTTCGATTTGGGAAAGGAACCCAGCTGCATCCAAACCTCTTCTGATGATGTCGCTTATAGCTGAATGCCGTGGAAAGCGGCCGGCACTACGACAACAGGAGAGAGGATGCAAACCAAACTCATCAATGGAAGCTCCACTTCTGCATCTGTGACGCTCACATAATTTGAGTCCAAGACGGATCCCGACTCCGACCCGTGCACTCTAGAAGGCTACCGGTAGATGAAGAGGAGAGTGCGTTGAGCCAGGCGCCATTACTCGGTTGTGAAGCAGATAGTAGACAGGCGAGGCGATGCTGATCCAGAGAGAACCTCAAATTAGTAAAATTGGCCTCGCATTTTATTTTATCCCAGTTTTTTGTTTTGTTGTGTCTAGTGGGATAGAAAGTGATTTGGGGGCCCAGGCGCTGCAAGTTTGTTCGAAAGAACTACCCGGGAAACATTAAGACGATCCACCGAGGATCTCATCAATTAATTCCCGACTGGACGAAAGTGAAGAAAGATCTGCTGGAAGGGCCAAATCTACCGCTGATCGAAGGCCCAGGCCTCCGAAATTCAAAGGGAGCTTTGCCTGCCTCCAACCTGTATTGTCGAAATTAACGTTGCAAATTAGCTACGCGCATCTCTTGACTGTGATATCTATCTCATTTAAGAAATCCTGTTCGGGGTCGCAAGGGGCACTTCGGAGAGTGTAGAGGAAACTCGGTAGCGAAAGCAAGAGGAAAAGGGCTGGGTGTGCATCAATTAATTGCAATTTCTCAGTCATTCTTGTTACAATGACATGCTTAGCATCCAAACACTTTCGAATGACCATTGGAAAGACTGGAGAACCAAGAATGTGTAATTCCTCCTTAGGTGTTATTTTTATATCCTCAAGGACGAGTCTGATATCCCGGATAGAAACTCTCGGAATAATCTGCACTATAATCTGCAGTATAATTCAATTTTATTATCTCAGACTTGGACGAGTTAATCTCAAGTCCAAGCAGAGATAAAGCAGGAATAACTAGTCGGAGATCAGCAGATACGGCCTCGATGGATCCTCCCAACGTTGCATCGTCAAGATACCATATATTGAAAGGAGAGGCGATGAAACAAGATACCCCGTCAAAAGCCATCCCGTATAGTAGCGGACCAAGTGGATCACCTTGCTGGATTCCAGTAGCAGAAAAGATAATATTGTCGGAGGTGATCAACATACTTGGATGACGATACGAAAGATGAACCCGTTCAAATATGGAAGGAGTCCGATGATGGCAAACTTCCAGGGTATGATCCCTTCTGATGCTATTGAAAGCGTTTTTCATATCCAATTTTAATAAAATACGGTGGGGACGCAGATGATATATTCTCGAAAAATGATCTTGTGGTATGAACCGCGGCTTTACATCCACCCAGTATGCCTACCCCGAGCTGGACAGGTTGCAAGTTATGCCCTATCTCCTTCACAACAACTCTACAAGTAATTTTTTGCTGCGAGACGACGAATAATGTTACCAACAGCGAGAGGGCGGATACCTCAGTCTTTTGTTTTTAAAGCTATCAAGTTGGCTGAAAATATTAAGTCGTGAGCATGTTGTGGTATCCCAGACCGGAGAAGCTGTTATGGATGTTTTCAAATGTTCACTAGCTTTGGGAGTGTGGGCAGAAAATAAGTCCTTGATGTGACCAAGTCGAAGGCCGTCCACACCTCCACTGCTGCTTTCCGAGAAAGACTTCAGAGCGGCAACCATTGCTTCCTTTGAGATTTCAATATTTGAATCATTGTTTTCCATCTGAACAAATCTGGCATCTGATGGTGGCGCAGGATGTTTTCCGACGAAGCGCTGTGAGGAATTCTGGTGTAGTAGCTAGTATAGTATCGTATGAGACCAATACTCTAACTACAGCTAAGACATCACCCTCAATCTACTTAGCATTGGCGAGGGCACGGAGTCTCTTAGAATCGTCGACTGTAGATGAAGGATGAAATCTATTAGGATTAGAAAGATTAGAAAATTCGGTGGCATTTATTTTAGACGAATTGAATAAAGAAATGTTATTTTTCATAATAGATGAGACAGATGATGTAGGGTCCTTATTGTAAGAAATGCCGAGCACAAGAATTGCGAATAAAAAGTGATCCCAGTCAAGCGAGCTGTTCAAGGGCCTGGTCTATGGCAGTAGCCAAAGCATCGGCTGCCGGGATTCTGACAGATTTAGGGATTTTTAAAGGCACCTTCCGGAATTGCCTAAGGAGTGAGGTTGCCCTAAAAACATCACTGGCATCTCTTTGGGTCGGTTCATTATGTTGATGAATCACACTATCTTGTGGAGCCGAGAGAGACAGACAATGTGAAGAACTCCAAACAACCAGAGACGCTGAAGCATTTCTCGTTAATTCCGTGCAAGATAAATGAAAAGACAGTTGACAATTTGAACAACTTTTGATTCTTTTACGCTCATTAATGCTGCCACAAGAAAAGCAATGAGCACATTCCAGCAAAAAAGAAGTAAGAGACATTTTTTCTTCCCTCCTTTTTCCTAAAATTGTTTAATTCTTGTAATCTCCGTTTAACATTAATTTCATTTTTCCTTTGAAATCAAATCTTTGAAAACATAATGTCTTGAATTACAAATCATTTACAATAATGTTTAAAGTTTCCAGCTATTAATTCAATAATGATTATTCCACTTTCTATTCAAATTACTATTTACCTTATTAAATATTTAATCAGACATTTTTACATTCTTAGAAATCCGTTGAAACTAGCAGAGCTTTGAAAAAAATATCTTCTCTCTTCGAATTTCAAGAGTTTATTTGCCAAATTTAAGGAGTAACCAAGACTGGCAAGTTCTAGTCGAAATATTTCCATAAAATAATTCATTCGTTGGAAATACAAGTTTTTTTTTTGAATTATGCAACTACCAACAGAGACAATCATCCTAACTTTGATACGAATAAGACATGGACCTCACTTAAAAAGCGTATGCTCTTTGAAAATATCATCAATTCGTTTTTTTTTTTTTCCTTCATTTGAATTCTTAAGCGTTTCTAGTTTCTTTTCACTGTTTTTACTCAAATTAAAAAGAGTGACCAAGACTGGCAAGTTCTAGTCGAAATATTTCCATAAAATAATTAATACGTTGGAAATACAAGTTTTTTTTTTAATTATGCAACTACCAAAAGAGACAATCATCCTAACTTTAATACGAATAAGACATGGACCTCACTTAAAAAGCGTATGCTCTTTGAAAATGTCATCAATTCGGTTTTTTTTCCCTTCATTTGAATTCTTAAGCGTTTCTAGTTTTTTTACACTGTTTTTTATTCAAATTAAAAGAGTGACCAAGACTGGCAACTTCTAGTCGAAATATTTCCATGAAATAAATCATTCGTTGGAAATACAATTTTTTTTCTTCTTTAAATTTTGCAACTACCAACAGAGACAATCAAATAGATAACTTTACTTACTTTATGTTAATTTCCCTTGCATACTCTATCAGGATTTAAAATGGCCGCTAATTTAAACAGTATTTGAAGAACTGAAGATGGAAAAGAAACTGGGCCAAAGAAATGTGAACACCGACATGATATGAACTCGTATCCTTCTTTGCAAGCAGAATCAACTCCACATCTGGCGTGTTTTAACATCTCGGTTACGGAGACTTTTATAATAAAACAATGTTATATTTTTTTTTAAAAAAAGCACATTAATTCGTGCAGATTTTCCCGAATGTTGCTTCGTACCTGAAATAAAAACAAAGCAATTTCTAGAGAATGTATGTTTTTTATTATTTTTAAAGCGACGTATCTTTATTACTTCAAACGTTAATTTTTTGCACACCCGTGTAACCCATCTGGTAGAGGTGTTAACTTTTTTGCCCCCCACCGTGTTACAGTTTTTTGAAACGTCTCTCTCTCTCACTCACTCTCTCTCTCTCTCTCTATATATATATATATATATATATATACATTATACATTGTATATATATACATTATATATATACATTATATATATATACATTATATATATATACATTATATATATATACATTATTTATATATACATATATAAATATATACATTATATATATGTATATACATTATAAATATATACATTATATATATATACATTACATATATATATATATATATATACATTATAAATATATATATATACATTATATATATATCCATTTGATATATATATATATATATATATATATATATATATATATATGTATGTATATATATATATATATATATATATATATATATATATATATACATTATATATATACATTGTATATATATACATTATATATATATACATTATATATATATATATATATATATACACACATTATATATATATACACACATTATATATATATATACATATATATATATATATATATATATATATATATATACATATATACATTATATATACATATATATATATATATATATATATATATATATATATATATATATATATATATATATATATATATATATATATAAGAACACCGGATTTTATATCTTACTGTTCTTTTCTTTTATTTATATACATATATATATATATGTATATATATACATTATATTTATATATACACACATTATATATACATTATATATATGTATATACATTATATAAATGTATATACATTATATATATATATATATATATATATATATATATATATATATATATATATATATATATATAATGTGCTGGGGGTCGTGTTTTATGTTTTATTACCGACAACATGCATGCGTGTCACAAACAACGGGCCTATTGAAATTTATGAAATCGTTCATGAAATACAATAACCTTTGCATTACTCATTGAAATCTTGATAAATAAATTTTATCTTGATCAAGAATAAGCCTGTTCAATTTCATTTGACTAGAATATATAGTTACTATAGAATTTATGGGTTTTATTATTATGATTCTAGGTATCAAAGGGAGAAATTATCAGAACAGCTACCATGAAGGTATTTATAGAAAGGGCAGAGGGAAGCTACGATATCACGCGAATTATCTGTTTTTAAAAACAATACTTTTCTTTTATTTGTCCTCAAAAAGATAGGTTCGCCTTTGATCCAGTTCAAACACCTCCACGATGATTTGTACTTGTTTCCTGTTCAGGATTAGGTTTCCGGTTCCTTCTAAAGTTTTCTCTCTTCCCCACATCCAATAACCCCACGATAAACTATGTCCAACAGCAAGGCCTCTTGTCAGGAAGATTTTGAGGAGTATGGAACTATCTCTTAATTGCTGGTGTACAAAGGTCAACCCTGACCTGGGGAGGTAGCACTTCTTACGGTCCCTGCTATGGACAACCCAAACTAGTGTCGAAACACTGTGAAAGTGTAACAATAGGATTTAATATCAGCAATTAATTTTTTGAAGTAAAAAAAAAAAAAAAACAATATTACCAGCAATGCATTTTTTGAAGAATAAAGTATAAACAACTTGTCGGCATTAAAACCCATTGAGGTTGATATATCATTAAAAAAAAAACCCAACAAAATACAAAAAAACCCCCCAAAAAAACAGCAACCCCTTTGCTTTTTAGTGGCATTGTCACCTTTTTTTTGTGGGGAGGGGGTGAATAGAGTGAAAAAAAGTATATATATATACCATACATTTATAGATCATACATTTTATTATTTCAAATGTTATTTTTAGTGAATAGACGTACATAATGCATACTCTATTTTTTAATCTTTATTACGTCTACCGACCTATTGAACTTAATAAAAACAATAGATAAAAGAAAAGTGCCACTTTTCAGGAAGAACCAATGTCTGATCCGGTAGGCTTTAACCGCTCGGCCATGGAGGACTTTACAATTAAGCAAGCTCTTATTTTGCCATTAAAACACATCTACACTTTCATATTTTATCAAAAAGTTGCTTAGTATCCGAAATATTAACAAAAAAGCAATTTTAATATAATTTTATTTTAATCCGATATATATTTTTATTACATAAAATATTAATTTTGTGGATACCCTATATGTAGATACCCCTATTTTATGGATACCCCTATTTTGTGGATACCCATATTTTGTGGATACACATTTTTTGTGGATACGCATTGAATGCCTCTATTTGTGGATACCCTATTTTGAGGATACCCCTATTTCCGGATACATCTATTTTGTGGATACCCCTATTTTGTTGATACCCCTATTTTGTGGATACACCTATTTTGTGGATACACCTATTTGTGAATACACATTTTTGTGGATACAACTTGGATGCCCCTATTTGTGGATACCCCTATTTGCGGATACCCCTATTTTGTTGATGCCCTTATTTGTGCGTACACCTAATTTGTAGATACCCCTATTTGAGTACACCCCTATTTGTGGATGCCCATATTTTGTTGATGCCCCTGTTTTGTGGATACCCCTATTTTGTTGATACCCATATTGTGTGTACGTTTTTGTGGATATCCCTATTTGAGTATACCCCTATTTGTGGATATCCCTATTTGAGTATACCCCTATTTGTGGATGCCCATATTTTGTTGATACCCCTGTTTTGTGGATACCCCTATTTTGTTGATACTCCTATTTGTGCGTACTTTTTTTGTGGATACCCATATTTGAGTATACCCCTATTTGTGGATCCCCATATTCTGCGGATGCCTCTATTTGTGAATACCCCTAATTTGTAGACAACCCTATTTTGTGGATACCCCTATTTGTTGATACCCCTATTTGTGGATACA